AGACAATGAGATGCTTCAATTGAAATATACAATTTCCGAAACATACCAACGATTTCTGAAACCCTGTATACCTCGAATATATTTAAAAGTTAAAACTGCAGAGACTGGTAGTCCAAAGTATCAGAAATTCTGATACTTTTGAAATCGTCTGTATCTCAAATATACTTAAAAGTGCAGAGACTGGTAGTTCAAAGTATCAGAAATTCTGATACTTTGGAAATCCTCTGTATCTCAAATATACTTAAAACTGCAGAAACTGGTAATCCAAAGTATCAGAAATTCTGATACTTTTGAAATCCTCTGCACTGTATGTCAAATATTCTTAAAATTGCAGACCGGTAGTCCAAAGTATCAGAAATTCTGATACTTTTGAAATCCCTTATATGTGAAATATACTTAAAACTGCAGAATGGTAGTCCAAAGTATCAGAAATTCTGATACTTATGAAATCCTCTGTACTGTATGTCAAATATACTTAAAATTGCAGACCGGTAGTCCAAAGTATCAGAAATTCTGATACTTTTCAAGTCCCTTATATGTGAAATATACTTAAAACTGCAGAAACTCGTAGTCCAAAGTATCAGAAATTCTGATACTTTTGAAATCCTCTCTATCTCAAATATACTTAAGATTGCAGGCTGGTAGTCCAAAGTATCAGAAATTCTGATACTTTTGAAATCCTCTGCATTGTATGTCAAATATACTTAAAACTGCAGAAACTCGTAGACCAAAGTATCTGATACTTTTGAAATCGTCTCTATCTCAAATATACTTAAGATTGCCGGCTGGTAGTCCAAAGTATCAGAAATTCTGATACTTTTGAAATCCTCTGCATTGTACGCCAAATATACTTAAAACTGCAGAAACTCGTAGTCCAAAGTATCAGAAATTCTGATACTTTTGAAATCGTCTCTATCTCAAATATACTTAAGATTGCAGGCTGGTAGTCCAAAGTATCAGAAATTCTGATACTTTTGAAATCCTCTGCATTGTATGTCAAATATACTTAAAACTGCAGAAACTCGTAGTCCAAAGTATCAGAAATTCTGATACTTTTGAAATCCTCTGCATTGTATGTCAAATATACTTAAAACTGCAGAAACTCGTTAGTCCAAAGTATCAGAAATTCTGATACTTTTGAAATCCTCTCTATATCAAATATACTTAAAATTGCAGACTGGTAGTCCAAAGTATCAGAAATTCTGATACTTTTCAAGTCCCTTACATGTGAAATATACTTAAAACTGCAGAAACTCGTAGTCCAAAGTATCAGAAATTCTGATACTTTTGAAATCGTCTCTATCTCAAATATACTTAAGATTGCAGAAACTCGTAGTCCAAAGTATCAGAAATTCTGATACTTTTGAAATCGTCTCTATCTCAAATATACTTAAGATTGCAGGCTGGTAGTCCAAAGTATCAGAAATTCTGATACTTTTGAAATCCTCTGCATTGTATGTCAAATATACTTAAAACTGCAGAAACTCGTAGTCCAAAGTATCAGAAATTCTGATGCTCTTGAAATCCTCTGCATTGTATGTCAAATATACTTGAAACTGCAGAAACTCGTAGTCCAAAGTATCAGAAATTCTGATACTTTTGAAATCCTCTCTATATCAAATATACTTAAAATTGCAGACTAGTAGTCCAAAGTATCAGAAATTCTGATACTTTTCAAATCCCTGAAATGTGAAATATACTTAAAACTGCAGAAACTGGTAATCCAAAGTATCAGAAATTCTGATCTTTTGAAATCCTCTGCATTGTATGTCAAATATACTTAAAACTGCAGAAACTCGTAGTCCAAAGTATCAGAAATTCTGATACTTTTGAAATCCTCTCTATATCAAATATACTTAAAATTGCAGACTGGTAGTCCAAAGTATCAGAAATTCTGATACTTTTCAAATCCCTGAAAGGTGATATATACTTAAAACTGCAGAAACTGGTATTACAAAGTATCAGAAATTCTAATACTTTTGAAATCCTCTGTATCTCAAAAATACTTAAAACTGCAGACTGGTAGCCCAAAGTATCAGAAATTCTGATACTTTTGAAATCCTCTGTACTGTATGTCAAATATACTTAGGATTACAGACCGGTAGTCGAAAGTATCAGAAATTCTGATACTTTTCAAGTCCCTTATGTGTGAAATATACTTAAAATTGCAGAAACTCGTAGTCCAAAGAATCAGAAATTCTGACACTTTTGAAATCCTCTCTATATCGAATATACTTAAAATTGCAGACTGGTAGTCCAAAGTATCAGAAATTCTGATACTTTTCAAATCCCTTACATGTGAAATATACTTAAAACTGCAGAAACTCGTAGTCCAAAGTATCAGAAATTCAGATACTTTTGAAATCCTCTCTATCTCAAATATACTTAAGATTGCAGAATGGTAGTCCAAAGTATCAGAAATTCTGATACTTTTGAAATCCTCTGCACTGTATGTCAAATATACTTAAAATTGCAGACCGGTAGTCCAAAGTATCAGAAATTCTGGTACTTTTGAAATTCCTTTTATGTGAAATATACTTAAAACTGCAGACTGGTAGTCCAAAGTATCAGAAATTCTGATACTTATGAAATCCTCTGTACTGTATGTCAAATATACTTAAAATTGCAGACCGGTAGTCCAAAGTATCAGAAATTCTGATACTTTTCAAGTCCCTTATATGTGAAATATACTTAAAACTGCAGAAACTCGTAGTCCAAAGTATCAGAAATTCTGATACTTATGAAATCCTCTGTACTGTATGTCAAATATACTTAAAATTGCAGACTGGTAGTCCAAAGTATCAGAAATTCTGATACTTTTGAAATCCTCTGCATTTTATGTCAAATATACTTAAAACTGCAGAAACTCGTAGTCCAAAGTATCAGAAATTCTGATACTTTTGAAATCCTCTCTATATCAAATATACTTAAAATTGCAGACTGGTAGTCCAAAGTATCAGAAATTCTGATACTTTTGAAATCCCTTATGTGTGAAATATACTTAAAACTGCAGAAACTCGTAGTCCAAAGAATCAGAAATTCTGATACTTTTTAAATCCTCTCTATCTCAAAAAAACCCGTAAAATTGCAGACTGGTAGTCCAAAGTATCAGAAATTCTGATATTTTTCAAATCCCTGAAATGTGAAATATACTTAAAACTGCAGAAACTGGTATTACAAAGTATCAGAAATTCTGATACTTTTGAAATCCTCTGTATCTCAAAAATACTTAAAACTGCAGACTGGTAGCCCAAAGTATCAGAAATTCTGATACTTTTGAAATCCTCTGTACTGTATGTCAAATATACTTAGGATTACAGACCGGTAGTCGAAAGTATCAGAAATTCTGATACTTTTCAAGTCCCTTATGTGTGAAATATACTTAAAATTGCAGAAACTCGTAGTCCAAAGAATCAGAAATTCTGACACTTTTGAAATCCTCTCTATATCAAATATACTTAAAATTGCAGACTGGTAGTCCAAAGTATCAGAAATTCTGATACTTTTCAAATCCCTTACATGTGAAATATACTTAAAACTGCAGAAACTGGTATTACAAAGTATCAGAAATTCTGATACTTTTGAAATCCTCTGTATCTCAAAAATACTTAAAACTGCAGACTGGCAGTCCAAAGTATCAGAAATTCTGATACTTTTCCAACCCCGTATTTGTGAAATATACATAAAACTGCAGAAACTGGTAGTCCAAACTCCAAGGTATCACAAATTCTGATACTTTTGAAATCCTGTCTATCTCAAATATACTTAAAACTGCAGAGATAGGTAGTCCAAAGTATCAGAAATTCTGATGCTTTTCAAATCTTTTCAAATTGTTATGTGAAATATACTTAAAACTGCAGAGGCTGATAATCCAAAGTATTAGAAATTATGACACTTTTGAAATCCTTTCTGTCTCAAATATACTTAATTTAAAACGGTAGAGACTGGTAGGCAACTGAAAGTATCAGTGAAACCAAATTGTTTCGAGATCTTTGCACATATAATGACAACGTGAATAAGTCTCAGAAACCTGGTGTGTACCGCATTCCTTGTGAATGTGGTCCAGTTTATATTGGCGAACCTGGTCGAAATCTCTCAATACCGGTCTTAATTAAGAAGCATAGGATGAATCCACGTTTACTGCGATGAAAAATATGTTGCTGTCACGTGACCAAATTTGCATTTTTTCGGACAACTTTCGCACTCCGCTATTCAAAGTGTATACACGTGGGCGATATAAACAAGCGAAAATATCGCAAAATAAGGACGATTTGAAAGTTTTTGTTTTTGTATTTGTGGGTATATTTTAACTCCTATAAGTGTAATATGTAGCGAAGAGAAAAATTTCCCGTTGTGTGGGTACGAAAATATAGGGATATATTTCGCTCGACGGCCTCGATTATACTATCCATGATTATACTATAAGCAATTCACAAATTATGGTAAAGAGATGTGCTTGGGGAATATGCAAAAGCGATTCGAGGTATCCAGCACGCTTAAAAAACAATGGGACTTCAGTATCTCTCTACATGCAGTTTCCCAAGTGAGAAGAAATCTAAGGAAAGAAGGCAAATTTGGATAAATGCATGTTGTCGAGGCGACAAGTTCGTCTGTCGGAAAGACAGCTATATATGCGGTTTTCATTTTATTGGCGAAAATGGACCCACAGCGGATTATCCTGATCCGATACCAGCTACAGCTGATGGGAATAAAGTAAGTTATATTTTATAATCAATATATTTGCTTTTCTACAAATGACCTGGCATGGACCAGATGTTACACTCTCGCGATTATGCAGTACATCCTCCAACGAATACAAACAAGCTGCGATGTGCTTGCAGTCTCTATTATCTTCGAATGATTTATATGAGGCAAGTCCCTGTTTATCATACTCAGCTGAGCTGTATATTGAATAGTTAAAAATATACAAACCGAAGGGTGGCGACTGGCGAATCTATAAAGTCGTTCACGACTGGATATGACAATGGCTGACGTATCACCATATCATGAATAATAAATGTTCTCTTGCGTTCTTGAGATCCGAATTTCCATATTCATGATTTGGGTGAATCGGCAACATCATTTTCTCCACTGCTTGAGCAGGTTTTAAATAGCCGTTTACAGTAACGCTACGCATTTTCAAATACTCCTTTAGTTCGGCAACAGTCATGTCCGAAACACGCTCATTCTCCTTATCCATACAACTAGACATTTTTCTCTTCGGTATATTACACTTACAGGAGTTAAAATATACCCACAAATACAAAAAAAACAACTTTCAAATCGTCCTTACTTTGCGATATTTTCGCTTGTTTGTATCGCGCACGTGTATACACTTTGAATAGCGGAGTGCGAAAGTTGTCCGAAAAAATGCAAATTTGGTCACGTAACAGCAGCATATTTTTCATCGCAGTAAACGGGGATTGCGAGATAGCCGAGCAAAATAAATCGGCTGTCAGTGGCTAAACATACTTGGACTTACAACTATCGTATAAAATGGGACAAAGCAACCATTTTGGCGATTGACATAGTCATAAGTTCTCTCGCAAAATGTGAGAATCAATTGAAATCGAGAAGCACAATACAATAGATAAGAGGCAGGAGGGGAACTGAAGGGAAACTCCACTTTCTAAAACAAGTACTTTTAAAGCCTCATATTTTAATCGTGTTGTTAGGATGTAGAACTCAGTATGTAAAGTTGCACCGAGTAGTAGTTTTAGTAATCTCGCCTCATTTAGAAGGTTTCTAATCAAACTTTTAACGTACTTTTACGTACTGTTTTTGATGCGAACTTGATTTGTACTGTGCTTGTTGTGACTTGAGGTACTTTTACATCCTTCCATTGGTAGGGCCCAGTATTTTGCAAAACGAATCATTAAATCATTATCCAGCTTGCGCGTTTTATAGTAGCCAGTCTGGCCGACTCATCTATATGGCTGAGAATTGAAGAAGAGCCTGCCTGAAAGCCCTAGTAAAATTGGTCACTCTCGGCAGCCAGCTACCGTGAATTGTGATTGGCTGAATTTACGTTGATAACATATTGATTGACATATTAGCTAATTTATCCAAAAATTTAAAAATAAATGCGGTAAAAACAAACGGCATCGCACACGATTAATACATTGTACAAGTGTAAACCTGCATGTCGGCTAAAATATAAAAATTCAAAAGACAAAGTGTAAAATGTATAACATATACAGGTATCTAAACAGAATAAGGCATGCCATATACTGCATAGCTATGTCGTATGATTTTACCGTATGGTCACTATAGAGTTTAGAACCTTGGCTGTCCTTGCCTTGTTTATATATTGTACGAAGGCAAATTATGATTATACAAAAGAATACATTTCCCAATGTTTTTGTACATGCAATGCATATCATAAAAAATACGAAGCTCTCTTTGGAGCTTTTAAAATACATTTGCCTGACAACGTGTATGACAGGACAAGGGGTCTATTTGTCTTTTCCCCGATTTTGAGCGAAGGCCTTCGACTTTGTCTGGAAATTACAAATTAGTAGACGAAACTTATAATATTGCAGTAAATATATCTAGCGCTGGCTAGTAATAATATGAAATATTAACTAAGTGGGCGGTGATCAATTTTAGTAGGGCTTTCGGGCAGGCTCTTCTACAATTCTCAGCTCAATAGAAAAGCCGGCCACGCTGGCTAGTTTTATAGCGTTTCACAAGAAGTGTAATTAGGTTTTTAATTTTTTTAATCTCCGTATTTAGGTTCTACCTACTGTGTATGGAGAGTGTAAAAGCACTTTCTAGAGTCAGTTGTAAGCTATGAATTTTATTAAGTGTAATATGTAAATTATTTTGTAAATGTGCATGGGGGTAGCCTTGCATGGGTTCTTATGACCAGTTCGATACCTTCCCTTTTGGAAACTAGCTGTTACTGTTCCTAATAAAGCTGTTAAAACAAAAAATACTATATTAAAATATAGTACTTGGCGTGCTCTCTTTAATGCGCAAAATTAATTTCTCTTGTCTTGGATGCGCGCGTGTTAATTAGAATCACTGTTTAATTAAATTTCAAATGACGCGAGCCATCAGATCACGACACTTTACATATAAAAAAGGCGTATGAATTGAACAAGTCACATATTATTCATCAGTAATAAATTTACGTGGTGTTTCCACAAACGGAAGTATATATATATATATATATATAATGCTTGTGATGTTACTTTGAGTGTGTATCCACATCGGGTAAGCTTGAAAAATATGTCTGTCCACGGTGGGAATCGAACCTACGATCTTTGGAATATAAGCCCAATGCTCAACCAACTAAGCTACGTGGTCAGGTCGGTTCGAATATGTGATATTTCGGAACAGAATCTAGTTCCTTCGATATCAATGTTATCTAATAATAATCATGATTTTTCTGTGTTGGTGTAATGTACTCAGGTGAATATGATGCTTGTGATGTTACTCTGAGTGTATATCCACACCGGGCAAGCTTGAAAAATATGCCTGACCACGGTGGGAATCGAACCTACGACCTTTGGAATACTAGCCCAATGCCCTGCCAACTGAGCTACGCGGTCAGGTCGGTTCAAGTGATACTATGTGATATTTCGGAACAGAATCTAGTTCTTTCGATATCAATGTGGACCGTGGAACGTTCCCACCGTGGACAGACATATTTTTCAAGCTTATCCGGTGTGGATATACACTCAGAGTAACATCACAAGCATCATATTCACCTGAGATCTGAGTAGAAATTCTATAGCTAACGTCACACATATAAGTTCAAAGATTCATATCTGATTATTTGGCAAAATTAGTGAATACGTTATTATTATATTGTAAAAAGTGAGATACTAAAAATAAACAGTGAGCAGAGGCGGCGCTAACCCTCTTCGAGTGTGGGGAGGGGGTGTGTGAGTGATCTTTTGCCGACTGTTGTTTGGTAATTTTTCCGAGTCATTAGCCTATAGTGAGGGTCCTGAAGTGGGGGTTCCCAATCCCATTTTCCACCTGTAATTTTGGCCAAATCCCAGTCCCAGTTGGAGTTTTATTAGAAATCCCAGTCCGAGTTATTGAAATCCCAGTCAATAAAAAACCCTTTATTTATCGGTAGAATAAACAGTTTTAAGACCTTTTAAGCCACCGTACGTGTGTGTGCAAGTGGCGGACACTTTATGAAATATGGGGGGGGGGGCTCGTGCCGAAGGCACGGAAAATTTTTAAATTTGAATCCCGGAAATGGCATTTGCATCATTCTGAGACACGCATAATCAGAAAACCCAAAATTCCGGGCGCCAGAGTATGCCTGTTTGCAGGTAATTAATGCTGTGAATAATATAGTTAACAACAAAAATCATGACTAAAGACACCAAAAACGGATCAAAATTGGGAATCGACTCAAATTACTTCAATCCCATTCCCATTTTTGAGGACTTCATTTCCCATTCCCAGTGGCCAAATCCCAGTCCCAGCAACCCAAATCCCATTTTCGCAGTCTAAAAATAGGTCAATCCCAGTTCCCATTTTGCCCCTTCAGGGCCATCTATAGTAAATGTGCATGTTTAAATGCTCCTTATTACCCTCTATTAAGTCGGTTTTCCACTAGCGAATTTCAGTTCTGCGCGAAGCGACCTTTTTCCTTTGTCGGCATCTATTTTGCAGCCCTTGAAAAGTCAAAACCGTCAAAATTGAGGTCGGCAAAAGAGGGCCGACCTAAATCTGACCTAGGTCGGCACATCTCGGCATTTCTTAAAATCTGTTTCACGTCTTGGAGCAATATTAATCACGCATTTACGAATCATTGAAATCGGAATATAACTGGAACGTTACCTCCAGCCGGAAAATTCGAAAGTTGGTGCCAAATTTTAACTCCAGACGCACGAAATTTGATCTTCAAACATCAAACGTATATACACAATACCCGCCAGTTTTTAAACCTTACACCGTAGTGTGTTCAGTTAATCGAATTCGCTGACATTTTAAAAGCTATCACCATAAAAAATTCTTACTTTGGTTGAATTAAGGTGGGCAAAAATTTGCATTTAGCCCGGCATTGCCGAATGCCGACCTCGTTTTCGAGGACTGATTTTGCCACGTCTTGCTGACGTAATAAGTGATATCGACAAAGGAATTTTTAAACAAACAAATTTAATTACCTAATTATGATTTCAATAATATTATGTTTTTGGACTAGCTGCCAGAAGTGAAGATACTGTATTCGAAAAAATTTGCATTGCTGCATGTGTGGTTTCTTTGATGCATGCTATTCGTGATATTCGGTTTGAATTCAATTACTGCTTTAGGAGGTCAATTTTGGTTTCTTCAGTGGTTATCTTTAGCCAATCCAGTTTTGCCGACTGAGATAACAATTTGCCGATTAGCTGACGAGTGGGGGGGGGGGGGTGTTCCCCCCCTGTAGCGCCGCCCCTGACAGTGAGATATTTTCCATGTCTTCACCAGGGTTTATTTTAAGAAAAATTTAGAACTGCACATATTAAGGATGTTACGAAGCATCACGTGTTTGTCTGGGGGGTCAAAGGGTGTTTGACTGAGGGGTCAAAGGATTTTTATCTATATTTAACATTGTAAATTTATAGTTAACGTTGTAAATTATGCTAGACTCTTAATTTGTACATAGTTTGTATATAGGTGGCAGAATAAAGGTGTAGTTAGGTGGGGTCAGACAAACTCGATTCTGGGTGGAGGAGCTACAGTGTCCCCCCAAATTTTGAATTTAGAGGCCCGTGACGTAAGTTCTGGCAAAGATTTGTTTCACCCAACCACCCACAACAACTGTTTCAAAACATGTGGGCTAACTGGGAATCATGAATACTCAATATATAATAACCTTAGGCAGCAAAGAATATTAGGTTCTTCCACTCTAATCTCTTTTGGATAGCTTCGCTTGCACCAATTTTACATCCTGTTCCATTACACCCAGCACGTATGTGATTTGTGAGAAAAATATGAGGGTCTGGTGGTCCTCTCCCAGAAAACATTTAGACTTTTGATGCTCAATAAAAGCATTTCTGGCATCTGGAGCATCCACAAGGAAAACGAGTAAATGAGAAGACTGTTTTGAGGTTATACAGTATTTTTGTTAATTTGGTGACTGCACATTTGAGTTTTAAGAACTGCACAAATAGGTTTAGAACTGTACATTTTGTGTAGAACTGCACCCCTGGGCTCTTCACTAGTGAAGATATTAATCACGTGACTTTTAAAACATTGCGCTCGTTCGCGAAATGTTGTTTTTACCACTCGAAGACAAAAGTCATATCTTCGCGCCGCCGTGTGATCCTCTATTCATGTAACTACATGAAGTATTGGCAACGTGATTTTCAAAATGGAGGCCTAGCAAAACGATTTTGGTGTCAAAACAGCGTCGGACTTTGATAACGAAGCCAAACAACTGGCATTCGTATACCCAGGTCAACAAATGGCCTTCATATACATTGTGTTCATCTAAAATGAAAGCTACTGTAACTATACCTGATTTGGGTGGACAACGGGAAAAATCATGGACTTCTATAACTGACCATACAGTACTGTAGGTGTGTATGTTAAAATGTACTGTACTGTAGTAATGCGCCAATCAATGTAATACTATTAACATCTTTTGTGGTCAAATTTCCCACTCCCATCAGTTGCAGGCCAAAAACGCTATTCAATTGCTCCACATACTGTATAACGGAAAATTGATGGTCAAATGCCCCACCCCCCAGATCATTCTGACTGTAATTCTGTCAGTTCAAGTTTGGAATTGTGTGAAATCATACTGTACACTTAATTCTGAAGGTAACTTCAACTTTTTATAAATGAAACACTGTATTAAAAAAACTTACACCTCATTCTCTATAAAGTAAGTTTCCTAAAAGCATTAAGGTACAGTATACTCCATTTTGAATTTTGAAGCTTTTTAATTGTCTCAGACCTAGCGCAGTCTGGTGTATTGAATGGTCAATTGCCCCATGTCTTGTGACTTAGTGTCAAATGCCCTACGGCTTACCCTAACAGCACTTCAAAAGGTCACATTTCCCACTCTGGGGATAGAGCAAGATGACAAATGCCCGGGGGATATTAAAAGTACAATTTGGTTGGCGCAAAATATACTAACATGTGGTGCATAATATACTAATATTATATGTACAGTGTGTTCTTACATTTAAATCTGTCCCTCTCCCCTGTACTAATGGTCTGATTCCCACAGCATATTGATTGGCCAATGAAGCCATTCCTATGGGTTATATACATGTACTTATATTAAAAGCAAATTTCTAAGCTAGCCACTAGGTATCAATGGGCTATTTCAGGTGGAAATCTTAGTTTAAAGATAAAGAGCAGAGCCCAGCAAATAACTTTAAAACCAAACATTACAAATAAAGTAAAAATTTATTAACTAACGTTTCGTTGTTTACAATACAACATTTTCAGAGCAATCTAAATGAATTTACAGGGTATGGTATATATATTTACAAAATAATGGTTTAGTATTACAAAAAGGATGAGCCGATTAATCGGTAAATAATCGGCAAAGCCGATTAATCGGCCGTTACTTGAATAATCGGTAATCGGCCGATTATTGCTTGATAATCGGCAAATAATCGTCCATAAGACTTGTTCTGCAGCTGCCAAGCACATGCTAAAATACTGAATACAAACAAATAGATTTTCATATTTTATTGCAAAACCTGTGTCTTTTGTCTCGAGCAAAGTAAAGCTGGAAAACGCAGCAGACTAGCTCCTCATAGCTGAAAATATCCTGTTTTTACACCATAATCTGCCAAAACTAAACTCAATGACTATTGACATGCAAGATTGAAGCTGTTTTCAATTGTACATAATGTGTATTGTAAACAATAAAACCGCATTTACAACTTCATTGTTGGTCATCTTGTGATTTTTCGCTTGCTTTTAAAATAATCGGCGGGTACCGATTAATCGGCTGATTAGTTACGATAATCGCCTTATAAATAACCAGCCTCAGTAATCGGCAATTTTCCTTATCGGCTCATCTATGGCTCATCCCTACAAAAACGGTTACATAGTTTGAAAGAACAAATGAATAGAAAGAAAGGAAAACAACTAATCAGTAACTAGTTAATAAGAAAAGATTAGTTGATTAGTTGTTTTCCTTTCTTTCTATTCATTTGTTCTTTCAAACTATGTAACTGTTTTTGTAATATTAAACCATTATTTTGTAAATATATATACCATACCCTGTAAATTCATTTAGATTGTTGTATGTATTAACAATGAAACGTTAGCTAATAAATTTTTACTTTTGTTATGTTTGGTTTTAAAGTTATTTGCTGGGCTCTGCTCGTTATCTTTAATGGGCTATGCTATTTAATATTTGTAGCCCCCTCCCCCATTGAAAAACTTGGAATTCATTTCGGGTAAGTTGCTTTTTGGCCCTGGAATTTCTCAGAAGTAAACAAATTATCCTGGCTATGGAATTCTTCAGGGGTTGTTATATGGAATAGTCTATGGATATAAATGAAATAGCTTATCTATGGAATAAATGGAATAGCCTATATCGAATTATACAAATTAGAAAATGTAGTTTAATTAATAGTCAACTTGCATGCAGTATAGCACATCACAAACAGCAAAATCCAAAGTTGCATGGTTGTGTGAAACTACCACATTAAAAGATTTAATTACAACAGTTTTTGAATGTTTAAACAGATGTATTTACAGGCTTTCGCAGTTCAAATGATCATTTATAAATTTTCTGCAAGAAACAATAACATTTTTTTGTCTTCAGCTGTACTCGGTTTGCTGTTACTCTACAGTATATCTGTCCCAATTTGCTAAAATGTCTGTCAGTTCAGAGTTTAAATATTAATTTACATGTTAAAATGGCCCACATGCTTGATATTTCAATTTGCAATTGCCGTCATACACATGTTTTCTAAACTTCACCGCACAATAATTGCAAGAAAAAGGAGATTAAGTTGTCTAGTTAAAAGTTATTTTGAATGCAAATCTTGTATAGGAATTTTATAATATAGTATGTTATATCTTATATAGTACTAGTTGTTAAACTACGGTAACCTACTGCAAAGCAGCAGCAAAAATGCAACTGTTGCTGACAAGAATCAAACATATTGCCCCGCAATTCTGGTGCAGCACTCTGTCCAACTGAAAATAGAGTTGAGTTTTTGAGTATTGCGTAGAACTTTCCGGAAAATATCCATAACCCCCCTGCCCACATATTGGGGAGGGGTATCATTACATCAAAATTCTAAAACCTCTGTATTTTCAGACGGTATTCAAATACAAAATTAGCCTGCATAGCCAGCCCTCATTTTAATACTGACAGTAGGTTCACTTGTTACTCAAGTTTCATGCCCATTGGCAATCTTCAGACAACTAAAAGTTTTAAAAATGTCTATAATCGCCTTCCCCATATATTCTAAAAATATCCATAACACCCTGCCACACATATTGGGGAGCGGGTCATATACAGTATATTGACCGCAAGTCTGTCTGTACTAAGGCAATACCATTGATATATGGACTTTTATGGGTAAATATTTATACATGTTCAGGAATCAGGCCTAACCTTCAGCGGCTGCATAGCATGCCTCTGTTGGCCTCTGGCGGGAATTCTGTCAGGTACAGCACTCTAACCAATTGAACTACACAGTCCATGAACTTGAACAATGAAATGAGTCTGGCTAATAATACTGTGAGCCACTCTGCATCTGGACTCAGAGATACATGAGCATGCAGTTAATGCTTGGCAACTGATCTCTGTAGCTTAAAAGCACTGCACGGGATTGATGCAGGTTAATTGATTCCTGTCAAAGCAGTTCAGATTCCCAAAAATTTGGTAATGAATTCGGGCTGGCTTCGTCACTGTACTTCGTCAAAGGGTCAATAGTTGTATTTTTTATAACATGTCTCTAAAAAGTCTAAACGTTTATAAAATTTATGTTCCAAATTTCCATCTATTATTATTATTATTTAACAATATTTCTGTTGGAAGCTCCACTCATTAAATGTGGACAAAAACCTTTGTCAAGTGAGATGCCCATAATCCTTAATGTATTATTAATATGCACAAATTGCAGCTAATGCTGAGGGACTTGGCAATGTAGCTCAGTTTGCGGCCTTGCAATTCAGGTGCAGCGTTGTAACTAATAGTTAACTCCTGCCTAGGTAAGGTCTGAAAATGTATAAAATTTACCTTAGATTACCTCTGTCTTAACCTTTGATCACTGTGGATAATTTTGATAACTGTTAAGGCACCTTAGATTACCTTAAGCTAACATTAGATTACTTTCTTCAACAATACTACCTTAGATTGCCTTAGACAATACTACCTTAGATTTGAATGCTGTTCTTAGGGCTTGTAATCCAAGTGAGTATATATATATACATTTTAAGACCTGCGAAAAATGTAGCACAAGGTCCTCTGGTAGGAATTGAACCCACAGCCCTGCGATTCCGTGCAGTGCTCTAACCAACTGAGCTACAGAGGCCAGTTGTTGACCTGTAACCGTAAGTTCATGTACATTATATATAGGTGAGCGGGTGTGCGGGTTGAGATAAGGTGGACTTCAATGATCTGGTTTCTTGCACTTCACTTGGCGGGATTAATATTTGAATGCTGTTCTTAGAGTTTGTAATCCAAGTGAGTATATATAATTATACATTTTAAGACCTGACCAGGAACGACTGCGCGAAAAATGCAGCACAATTAAGGTCCTCTAGTAGGAATTGAACCCACGGCCCTGCGATTTGGGTGCTGCGCTCTAACCAACTGAGCTACAGAGGCCAGCTGTTGAGCTGTAACCGTAAGTTCATGCATATATAGGTGATCGGGTGTGCGGGTTGAGATCAGGTGGACTTCAATGACCCACGGCCGTGGTTTTTCACAGTCGTTCCTGGTCAGGTCTTAAAATGTATATATATATACTCACTTGGATTACAAACCCTAAGAACAGCATTCAAATATTAATACCACCAAGTGAAGTGCAAGAAACCAGATCATTGAAGTCCACCTTATCTCAACCCGCACACCCGATCACCTATATATACATGAACTTACGGTTACAGCTCAACAGCTGGCCTCTGTAGCTCAGTTGGTTAAAGCGCTGCACCGGAATCGCAGGACCGTGGGTTCAATTCCTACCAGAGGACCTTGTGCTGCATTTTTCGCAGTCGTTCCTGGTCAGGTCTTAAAATGTATATATATACTCACTTGGATTACAAATCCTAAGAACAGCATTCAAATATTAATACCACCAAGTGAAGTGCAAGAAACCAGATCATTGAAGTCTACTTTAGATTGCCTTTTTAGACTACTTCATACTTTACCTACACCTGCATGCTGATTAGACTCGTAACTCATTCATTAGGTATATATGTTTATATCATAGGACTGGTTTTATATTCACAGAATGGTGTGCTAATAAAAAACTAACTTAAACTAATTATAAACTGAATATACAGTGAGGTTATAGAGTATTCCTCGATCGCCTGATTTTTTAAGCCAACGTTTAGAAATATTATGCCTTAATACCTCAATAAAATATACCTTAATAAAATATACTTTGATAAAATATATGCAAATAACTAATATATATATATATCTTTATCAAGCGGCAATAGGATCCATGTGTAGACTTCACATTTGATCAAACGTGACTGCGCTATATACTGTATTATAGCATCAGTTTTTTATGGTGATAATTGTTGTGGAGTCAAGTCATGCTTTTATTGTAAAAACGAATGATTGGTATCGCGCGGTTTATTCATTTGTTGCTTAATAAAGTGGTCGCTGCCACCAAAGTCGCATACCAAATCTGTAATCGTGTAGTTATATAATTATTATTAGGCTACTGTTCTTTTGAAGCCGCCGTCTAATCGTTTATAGTCAAATACAGGCTTCTCGTTCGCTGCGCTCACTCTTGAGATATCATGTTCAACAGTCGAAACAAATCTGGTATTTCCGCGCATCCATGAGATTATTCTCTATGTTATATAGACATGGATAAGAATGCTATGCGGATACACATAATGGTATAAATAATGCAAAAAATGATGTTAAAACCGACATACCGTATATTGTTCCAGTTGATTTCGACAAACAGGAATGTAGGGACAAATACTTGAAACACCAAACCCTCGGCCTGTTATGCGGTTTTGTAGAAAACCTAGCGTACAAAACATTTTATATTTGATGCGTATTCAAGGTTGACAACATTGAATTATATCCTCTGATATTTGTATTATTTAAGTTCCTTTTACAACGTTTATAGATCTTTCAATGCTTCCAAATCATGAGGCGCACAAGGAAAGTATACAAGATTCAAAGTCCAACGGTTTTCACGAAATTTGATTCTTGGCGACGCCAATACACGCAGTGATTTGATTGGCGCACAACACGGTTAAACGCTTTCAGTGATTGATTGTTGTCAAATCACGCACAGACGCGCAATTATTCAAACGCTAAATACTATATTCAGAAATATA